TGTACACGTGGGATAAAAAATCCTTAAAAGGCAGATCTACTTTTATTCGTATTCAGTTGGTCTTGTGAACATATTTGTGAACTAAAACTAAAAGTGGATTATTGGATATTAACATTTTATGGTAACAAAATAATTTTGATACACAATTAAGACCTACAAGACCCTGTGTGCCCTTCATTTTAATGCTAATTATGTTTTCCTAAAAACTTGTAGGAAGAGAGGTGTGGAATGGTAGTTGTTGACAATTTTTATGACGGAGGAAAAAAGGGCTTTTGGGGCATAAGGGCAGATTCTTGAGGCCACCCATTTGTACACATTACTGCTGTTGACTTCAGATAAAATTTAAGTTTAATAGAAATATTAAGTGCATTTCCTGGCTTGCTATTGTTGTTTTCTGATAATAAAGTGAACAAATTTTGTGGAATATAAAGCTCCAGAACTCTGTTAGTTAACTTTGAACTTGTATTAACTGAAAATCAAAATATCTCCACATTTTGTATAAAAAAATTGATTTAATTTAAAAGCCTTGAATTTTGTGCTGAAATGTTTTGTTTTTATTTTCTTTAAGAAATACATTTTGTGTGGTTTAGGTTTGAGTGAAGAACACATTTAATCACCGGTAAAAGTATTGAGGTGTTCAAAAATTTATGGTGATTCATATCAGTGAAATTCAAAGTTTAGTTCAAATTATCCCATCAGAGTAAATTTATCTTCTGTGAGTTGATGCAACATTGTTTGTTGATGATTCCTGCACAATCTTTATCGATATACTTAAAATGCAGAGTTTTATACATTAGTTAGTTCAAAAACAAAGTAAATAGTTCATTCAATAGTTGAATATGCTCGTAACATAATAATGTGTTTTTCAGTTCTAACCATTATCTGATTAAATCTTATATTTATATCAAATTGTTTAAGTCAGTTGTTTTTTTTTATTGTCTATGAGTCACATCAAGGCAAATAAATATATAAGAGCTTACAGTTTCAAGAAAGGAGATGTGGAATTGATTTTATTTAGGGATGGTAAGAGGCATCGCTAGGCACTGGAACACTGGGCTCGTGCCCCCGGATCCCCAGTTGGTGTCTTGAAAAATCAGAATAGAAAACTATGATCAATATCATACTGAAACGCCGAAAATTCCCACACCTATGGGTCCGAGCCCCGAATGTTTTACGCACCTGGTGATGCCACAGATAGCACTAAAAAAAATAACGTAACACACTTTTGTGTGTGTGGGCATACAGATTAGTGGTGGAATCAACATATTTCTTTGCACAATGATGGGTAAAATCCTGTTGAAATTCACTAAACTACACTTAAGGATTACATCTAATGCCCAACCTACATTATTTAAACCAACTCAGCATGATATTTTCTCCTGAAACTGTAAACCTCTTCCATTATTTCTGCTTTGTTATTCGTAATGACAGTAAATCCTCTACGTAACTAAAGACCAAGTAATGTTCTTTTTGTGGATATAAATCTAATAACTTTTTATCAGGCCCTTCCAGAGCTGGGTAGGAGCCCAAGTTTTTCCATCTTTATTTTATTTTAGATATACCTACAATTTTTAAGGGCTTCTAGAATTTTCCCATCGCTACCGCCCTCTGGACGGGTCTGCTTTTGGTATCATCTGTACTTCTTTACTCATTTATGTGTATACATCTTGTACCACCTTTGTTTGAGGTGTCTATAGATTCTAGCTATATTATTCCCAGGGACGGCGTTAAAGGGGGTCTATAGCCACCCCAAAATTTGCCTTAGCATCCCAAACTAGTGTGTGTGATCCACACATCTTGATAGTAAAGCCCCTCAAACATTCCGTATGGCCCACCTCAGGTCCCCCCTCCCTCCAAATAAATGTTAAACGCTGGCGCCGGACTTTTTTCCTGTGTAAAAGTCCTGTAAGGTCTATTTATACACCCATAGACCATATTATGTACGTATCCACTAAATGTATTCCTTCCCCTATACTTCCTTCGTTCGACAGTTTTATAACAATGTAGGATATTTAGATCGATCAAGTGAATTTAACTTGCATAAATTTGTTTACATCTGTATGATTGGTTGTAGAAAATCAGAAGAAATCTAGTCGTTATTTTCTTATATGTACATGCTCATTAGTCTAAATAAAGATGTTATAAACAAAAATTAATGTACCCCTCTGTCATTGATACAAATATGAAACACCGTCCACATTCACTGCACACACACACAAAATTGTCACTTTTAAAGTCATACAAAAATAGAAAAACGACAGCGATTGAAACTAACATCTTGGAAGATAAATATTTAAAATTATTATGAAACGTAGGCCTTTACAGGCATTTTTTTGAAAAGTAAATTACCATAGTAATGAATATTTGGTACACTTGTTCTGGCTGGAAATATTGGATTTAAGATGTTTACATATATTTACACGATGTACAAGAAAGCAGATATAACATTTTTACTTCGATGTGGATTAGTTTCTTATGTGAAATAAATGCTGAACATGTAAGAAAAATTAGTGAAGTACAGAGTTTTGTTTAATTGGAAAGATACTGTGGCACGTGACAAAAATTTAACTAAGTTAACGGACGATTGTGGCCATTAGAATATTCGATGTTAAAATTAATATTTCGTGTTACATGGGTAACTGAATAAAACATTTGAGAAATTATCTGTGTTGTGTACGAAAACAATTCTATAGAAGAATAACAATAATATTTTATGTTAAACAATTTCTAAAAAATATTAATGATTAAATATACCACTAGATGGAAGTAGTTTTGATAAATTTAACATTTCATATCAAATGAATGAGAATTATAAATATCTTTAAACTTAATTAGATCTTTTTTTTCTCTTCTTCTCCCGACTAACAATAAACACAACGTGGACCAAATGTGAAAGTTAAATACAGTTTAATTTTGGGGAGGGGGGTACAAATTTCCTACCACTGAAAGATGTAAGGCCAAAGGTTAAACTAAATGTTGCGTTTTATTGCATTGTTATTACTATTTGTATTGTGATAATTCATAAAATAATAATAATAAGCGGCTAGTTAGCTGTTGTCCAAAACATATACATGAAGTGGTGGTTTATTGTGTATCTGGAACCCCCACTAAAGCATGAAGTGGTGATTTAATGTATATCAGGAACCCCCACTAAAGCATGAAGTGGTGGTTTATTGTATATCAGGAACCCCCACTAAAGCATGAAGTGGTGGTTTATTGTATATCAGGAACCTTCACTAAAGCATGAAGTGGTGATTTATTGTATATAAGGAACCCCCACTAAAGCATGAAGTGGTGATTTATTGTATATAAGGAACCCCCACTAAAGCATGAAGTGGTGATTTATTGTATATAAGGAACCCCCACTAAAGCATGAAGTGGTGGTTTATTGTATATAAGGAACCCCCACTAAAGCATGAAGTGGTGGTTTATTGTATATCGGAAACCCCCCACTAAAGAAGAGTCTGTTCTTTGTTCGTTTTTCAGACTTCCATGGTTACTTTATAATAATCCATGGCACTATCTTACTGCTTCATAATCTGTACAAAATAAACAATTATTTGTAGACCTTAATCATCTCATTTTACCAGGTTACGTATGAAGTTCCAGACTTAACGACCTCGTACAGTACTCGTGCTAAGTGACTAAAGTTGAAAAACCGAAACTTGTGATCACGGTCAACATACAGCTCGAGGAAAACTTTCAAATTCATTTGTTCACCTGAAAACAAAAACAAACTGAAATTAAGATAAATTAAATTGGACATATACTCCTTATCTTAATAGATGTTTTAATTTTTTTGCCTGTACTTTACTTACTAGGTGTACTTGCGCAGGGTCCCCGAAAGTGTTCTGTTTCAAGAGTAAATAAAACCAAAATTAAAAGTACCAAATTGCTTTTGAAGTTCATATGTCATGCTGTGTTGTAGCGTACAGAGTGTATAATTATTCTCGTGATACATGCATGCGCTATTTTACTGACAGTACAAATTGCAACGTTAAGCGTCCCTTACGTGACATCATTTTAGTGTCTCTTGACTGACTGACAGACAACATAACGGTCTTAGATCCCCTTTCGGGGAAATAAATATGATGATAAAATAGTATTCTGAAATGTTCGATATGTGATTGGTTTTTTCTTCTTAACCAGAAAAATTAATAGAATCTGTGGCAGAAGCTCAACGACTGACTAGCTAACCTATATATATATATATATATATATATA